TGCTAAATGTTCTGAAGATCTTTCTTCATGTCTCCCACCTATAGGCTTTTTTCAGTTCTCTCCTCAACTTCAAGGTCCCTTGAAACCACTCATATACTTAACCTGCAAACATATCATCCATTACAATTGTATCGATAATCCACAAAAACTGTGTCCTATATGTCCACCAACTGATATGGAAATTGATAACGGTATTATAGTAACTGTTATCCAAGAATCAAGTACTGCTCAGAAAAAACATTCTAGTGGCTCTTCAGAAAAATCCTCTAACAAGAAAGCAAAAAAAGTTGGTGGAAAGGTCTCGAGTACACTAAAACAACTTATAGAAAAATTATTAACTGATATTCCCATTGTTGATAGAAGCTCAGAGGAAAGAAGTTACACAACTGATACTAGGGGTATTTTTTTGAAACTTTCTGATAGGATTGATAGTACCGAATCTAAAAACAAAGATATATCTTATGACCTTATCACCAGCTACTTTTATTTTGGGGAGGCTTTATATAATTGATATAAGGAGCTAAAACCCACTTATGGTAAAGATGGAGCTAGGGCTTTGGTCAAAAGTGAGATTAGGAAGAAAATTCCTGAGGAGAAATTCTCCGATGATGCTTTAAAAAAAAGAATAGAAAGAGCCCGAAAGATGTTTAAAATTTTCAATAGTATAGGCAAAGAAAAAATAATACGGGTAAAATCTATCCCTCCGGGTTTCATCCTGAATCTTACCGTAGATGATACCGATTATGTAATTGCTAAAGTTTTAAAAGGATCAGGAAGCATGTAATACTGCACCACATTCTACTGCACCCTGGTGACATGATGTCTCACCTCAGCAATTAGAAAAATATTGTTTTCTTGCAAAAAAAATATATTATTAAACTATTTTATAAAAGTTTTAACCATATTGGGTCTAGTGACATGTGTTAGAATTATTTCGTATATAAAATCTATGTATCGCCTACAAGGCTTATGAGTGGTTTCAAGTGACCTTGAAGTTGAGGAGAGAACTGAAAAAAGCCTATAGGTGGGAGACATGAAGAAAGATCTTCAGAACATTTAGCA